TCTAGATTGAGAGCAAAGACCAAAGTCCAACTGAAATGCATGCGGGACTTCCTCTTCGCTGACAATGCAGCTATTGCCCATTCTGCTGAAGACCTCCAGCAACTCATGAATTGTTTTAGTAAAGCCTGCCAAGATTTTGGATTAACAATCAGCCTGAAGAAAACAAAGGTCAGGACGTGGACGCACCTCCCTGTATTACCATCTCTGCACAAGAAACGGAGGTTGTTCGTGATTTTGTGTACCTTGGCTCAACCATCTCTCTAGATGTCATGCTAGATAAATGCATTTGCAAAGCAGCTTCCATGTTCTCTAGACTCACAAAGAGAATATGGCTTAATAAAAAGCTGACGGCATATACCAAGATCCAGGTCTATAAAGCCTGTGTCCTGAATACACTCCTCTACTGCAGTGAGTCCTGGACCCTTTGTAGAAGGCAGGAGAGGAAGTTGGCACGTTCCAAATGCATTGTCTCTGACACATTTTTAGTATCACCTGGCAGGACAAAGTTCCAAATAGAGTAGTCCTAGAACGAGCTGGAATTTTTAGCACGTGATACAGTGACATCTACATTGGTTTGGGCATGAGAATGGCTGACAATCAGATTCCAAAAGATCTCCTGTATGGAGAAGTAGTGCAGGGAAAGCGCCCCAGAGGGAGACCATATCTGTGATACAAGGATAACTGCAAGGAGGATCTAAAGGCCTTAGGAGTGGACCTCTACAGATGGGAAACCTTGACATCGGAGCATTCAGCCTGGAGGCAGGCAGTGCAGCATGGCCTCTCCCAATTTCAAGAGAACTTGTTCAGTAGGCCGAGGCAAAGAGGCAGTCCTGAAACCAGCAAAATCAGGGAGCTGGACAGGGGACAGATTGTATTTGTCTTCAGTGTGGTAGGGATTGTCACTTTCAAATTGGCCTCCTCAGCCACACTAGATGTTGTTCCAAGACCTCTATTCAGAGCACGTTCCCATAGCCTCTCGAGACTGAAAGATGTCTATGCAATCCTCTTCCAAAGCACATGCCTGAAGAGACTATGTGAAACATGTCTAAAGAGTCAAAGGAAAATCTGTCACACAAGCCAATCTTCTGTCCCACCCCCTCTCCCCGGAATTTTTATCAAAAAGACTCCAAACTATCTGCCTTCCTAGAAATAAATTTCCTTTAAGACTTCCATCAAGGTTTGGATCTGTTACCGGGAAATAAATTTCCTTTAAGACTTCCATCAAAGTTTGGATCTGTTAGCTACCTCTCTCTCTCTCTCTCTCTCTCTCTCTCTGTGTGTGTGTGTGTACACATGTGCATAGAGTAAGACCACTTTTCCTCCAAGTCACAAAAGCACCAGAATAACCCAAAGGTGACAACTTCTGCTTTGTACTTCAAACTTTGTCCAGGTCTGACGCACATCCCTCCAATAGCTATGTCTACAGAGATGAGGAGTTAGGCTGTTGTACCAAAAGCTGTGAGGACGAACATTTATTGTGGCATATGATAGATGGGGCTCCAGTCTTTTGGTCCGCACGGGTCTCTTGATGATTTTAGTCTAACAACCTATAGAGGTGATGCAAAACAGCTTCTGCAACTGCAAGTGTTCTAGAAGATGCAATGTTCAAGAGGCAGCCTCACAACAAGTCGAGCCTCTGTTTCCAAACGCGGATTCCTTAATTACTTGAGGGAAATTCAATAGGCTTATACTTCACCCTCCCCATAAGGGGAGTCGTCCCTTCCATGTTCTTGTTTGTCACTATGTGCCTCCAACCAGCCTTAATTGGAAAGGCAGGCGTTGGGCGGGGGGAGAATTTTTAATTTTTCGTCATATCTAGGGATTCTGCGCCGCCGCCGCCCCGATGGCTCATTGTTTACAGATTTCTCCTTCACCGTACCTGTCATTGCCCCCAGCTTAAGATACGGCAAGGGAAAGGAAGGCACCGCTTAGAGGAGGATCTGGGCAAACGGGAACAGCCATCTCTCTCCCACCTCCCTGAAGTGTCGTGCATAATCCCAGGGTTTTCCCCGCCCCGCTTTCCCCCCTCCTGCCAGCCAATAGGGTCCGAGAGTGCCACCACGTGGGCTTTTGGCCGCGCGCCGCCCCCTCTTGCGCCTCAAAAGAGTGGGCGGGCTTTGGCCGGCTTTAACTCCTCCCCTTCCCCGGTGAATGTCAGATCCGCTGCAGAAGCGCGGGGGATCCTGCAAAGCGGGGGTGGGGGGGAGAGAGAGTCATCCGGAGGCTGGCTGGGGCTGCCCAGCTGTCCGGGTGAAGGAGGAGGAGGAGGTGAGCGGAAGGGTCAGGCCGAAGAGGCTCACGGAGGAGGAGGAGGAGGAGGAGGAGGTGAGCGAAAGGGTCAGGCCGAAGAGGCTCACAGAGAGGACCGCCGTCGCCGCCTCTGGGTTCAGGAGCTCCTCTCTTCTCTCCTTTTTTCCCTCCCTCTTTCGTGCGTGAATAGCTTGGGTCCAAGATAGCCCCGTCCGCCGGCTTCCAAGCCGGAGAAGCCCCGTTGCGGAACAAAGGACGAGGAAGGCGAGCGAGGGAAATCCCTGCTTGCGGCAAGCCCGCGGCGCTCGGGTCGGGACTGGAAAAACGAGTGCCGCGGCTTGCTCGGAGGGAATTTGGCCCGAGGAGACGGATAAATTAAAGGCGGAGGAGGAGGAGGAGGGCGCAACCCCGCCGTCCCTCCTCTCTCTCTCTCACCCCGCGTCGCCCAGCACCGAGAAGATGGAGAGTGTTTTAAAAGGCTTTTTTTAAAGGGAGGGAAGGAGATCTGTCGCTAGGTGAGATCCTATTTTTTAAGCGGTGTTTCTTTTTTCAAAAAAATATTTTTTTTAAAGTCAATAAGAGCTGAAGGTTATTGTGGGAGCAAGTGGCCTTCTGCAGCAGCAGCGGCGTGTCTGCGTGAGTGGGCGGAGGTAAAAGGGGGGCGGCGGCAGCGGTGGCGGTGTTTCCACTCCTTTGCAACGTGGGATTAAATGGCCCCGGCCGTGGAGCTTCGATGACTCCGGCAGAGGCAGCACGAATGCGGCAGCGGTGCCCGTCCCAGCAGCAGCATCCCCACCGACGGCTCTGCTGAAAGGCGGCCTCAGAGCAGCTGCGGTGAAGGCGGGCGGTGCGTGATCCGGCCTCCTCGGGCATCCTCTCTCCACGCGGCGCTTCTTGGCTTACCCTCAGCCTCCTCCGTGCCGCCCGAGGGGGGGGAGGTGTGTGGGGCGGCTCACTGGTCAGCTTCGCCCGCTCGGTCGGCGGCGCGGGCAGGAAGGAAGGAAGGAAGGAAAGAGCGAGCCCTTCTCCCCGCACTCTTCTCTCCGGCGCCGCCGCTCGAGCCTGTTTCCAGGAGCATGGCGACGCTCCTGCGGAAGATCGGGCTCATCCGACTCCACAACCGGGACACGGAGGATCCCAAGCACCACCACAACCATCATCACCACCACAACCACCACCACCACCGCGGCAGCCTCCAGCAAGGCTCCTCCTTGCGGGGCAAAAGCCACCAGAAGAGCAAGTCGTTGCAAGGGACGCCGGCCAGCGGCTGCGGCAGCCCCAGCAAAGAGAGCGGCAGTAGCCGAGGCAACAGCCCCGCGCGCAGCAGACCCAAGAAGGTGCTCGAGGTGGTCAAGCAGCAGCAGCAGCAGCCCGAGGGCCCCGACAGCGCCAGGGAGAAAGCGCCGCCCCACGCGGGCGGGAAGGAGCCCGGCCTCGGCAAGGAGCCGCCGTCGGGGGGCAGCCACGGGTGGTGCCGGCCAGCCGGCAGGCGCACTGCACGCAGGTGCGCACCCGGCGGCTGATGAAGGAGCTGCAGGACATCGCCCGCCTCAGCGACCGCTTCATCTCGGTGGAGCTGGTGGACGAGAGCCTCTTCGACTGGAACGTGAAGCTGCACCAGGTGGACAAGGACTCGGTGCTGTGGCAGGACATGAAGGAGACCAACACCGAGTACATCCTCCTCAACCTCACCTTCCCGGACAACTTCCCCTTCGCGCCGCCCTTCATGCGGGTGCTCAGCCCGCGCTTGGAGAACGGCTACGTCCTCGACGGCGGCGCTATCTGCATGGAGCTGCTCACGCCCCGCGGCTGGTCCAGCGCTTACACCGTCGAGGCGGTCATGCGCCAGTTTGCCGCCAGCCTGGTCAAAGGCCAGGTAAGGGAGGAGGAGGAGGAGGTCCTTTGGCTGGGTTTGCAGGGCCCGGAGGTCAGCACCACAGAACTGGAGGGGAGACTGAAGCCAGGCTTCGTGAAGGTGGCTTCTCCGTCCCCCACTGAAGTCCACCGCTCGAGCTTGTGATGGGGAAAAGGCACTTCGCAGTGCTTGTTTCTGTTGCTTTGTATGGCACATGGTCATGGTTCAGTCCTTCGGGCTGGAAATAGTATTTTGAGGCAAAGCCCAGAAACTTGGCTGAAACTCATTTCCACCATGCTTGGAGCTACATGGAGATGTGTTGCTGCATTGCTTTGACTAAGTGGCCGAGGGCCAAGCAACACATTAAGTGGGAGATCTGTGTGTAATTAGAGTTCAGGATATTCCCCACATACCTTTGAAAGTCATTGGAGGGGACTTTGCATTTGGTCAGAGCAGGTCTACTGATCCAGCCAAATTCAGAGCCACTCACATCTAATTTTATTTATATTTATATCCCCCTCTCCTGTGTTGCTTGGTCCTAAATTGCCTTAGTCCATTGGCCGAATTGCATTATTCAGAACATGTACAGTACTGCCCTTTGGAGAGCCACAGAAAATCATGGGATGCACCTCTTATGGCAGTTGTTTCCCATGGGTGCTGCTGCAAAAGATTCTGGGATGCCCTCTGAGGCAACATGCTCCTTTCAGTAGTGCTGATAAAATTACCTCTGGATCCTTCCAAGAACCCTGCCTATAATCCCAAGAGAGTACAGTATTTTCTGTTGTTGTTTACTGGTTAGAGCTGCACCCTAACCTCACCCCCCCAAAAAAAAGAGATTCATAGTAGGTAACAATAAAATGGGTGTGAGTGGGTGTGCAGTTTGATTAAAACATGACACCACTTTAAAAGAAATGTAAAAGAATTCTTTGAAGCAGCATCTGCTCACATTAAAGGCTTTTCCCTTTACGCCAACCCATTTTAATGGCAAAGGACTGTCACCTTTGGTAGGGAGTTCCACAGTCTAAAAGGAGCAACAGAAGAAGCCCTCTGTGGGGCAGTGCAGCCCTCCTGCCTACTTTCTGTCATCCACAGAAGGATGGTTGTCTGCCCAGATACTGGCCTCTGAGGCTCTGTGAGTGGAAAGGGATATCTGTCAAGAAATGGAAAGCTGTTCTGGTCCATAAGCCCTTGCGCAAAGGATTATGGTTCTTTAGCATCCTGTTCACTGTCACAGCTTGGAAAAGGTCCTCCCCCCACCCCTTAAAATTGGTTCCTATAATTTTTGGAATTGCATCTGAAATAAATAATTTTTTCAAGAGTGTTCCTATTCTGTAGGTCCTCGTGGACTATGGAAGATTTAGTAAAACAGGAGTTTGTGCATACATACATTGTTTATAAAATTATAGGTGATTTGGAAAGTATAAGTAAAGACTAAGTGATTATTTTTCCTCTCCAAAATCATTAGAGTTTAAAAGCTACCAAATGAAATCTTGACTGGCAGAAGTATTTCTTTAAAGAATAAGATGTTTAAATCTTTGCCTCATTATAGAATGGCAGCTATCTGATGGATAAAAAGAATATGTAACATATTCATGAAGAACATGTAGGTGAATGAGTAAGCGGCATTATTAACAATTACTGGGAACAGTGAGCTGGAAGTAGTAAATTCTCCTATGTGGCCACATGACTAGTGGCTATTTTAGGAGTCATGGTATTGGTCTGGAGAGGCCTCTGGCCAGATACAGCAAAGCAATTTTTGTGGTCTGGAGCAACTTGTTTCTGACATGGTGCTATACTGTGGTGCTATATGAAAGTGAGGAAAGGAGGATCTCTGCCACTTCACCTAAGGTTGTATGAATGTGCAAAAGACAGAGCAGGACACTTTTTGAACCAAAGTTCAACACTGCTGATCTGAAGCCATATCAGATAAAAGCTAAGCTATCTTACCAGATCTGCTATCTGTTCAAAATTATGTGTGTATTCAAAGATACCTTTCCAGGCTTTAGGACCCACAGAGGACGACCTTCCATTGGTCCAACCACAAGAAGCACATTTGGTGGGAACAAATGTGCAGGGCAACAGTGCCTATAGCATTTAGGCTATAAAGGTAAAGGTTCCCCTTGACATTGTCCAGTCGTGTCCAACTCTAGGGCGCAGTGCTCATCCCCGTCTCCAAGCCGTAGAGCCAGCATTTGTCCATGGACAGTTTCCGTGGTCACGTGGCCAGCGTGACTAGACACGGAACACCGTTACCTTCCCACCAAGGTGGTACCTATTTATCTACTTGCATTTTGCATGCTTTCGAACTGCTAGGTTGTCAGGAGCTGAGACTCCGTCGCGTGGATTCGATCTTACAACTGCTGGTCTTCAGACCTTGCAGCACAGAGGCTTCTGCGGTTTAACCCGCAGTGCCACCACATCCCACAGCTATTTAGGCTATAGCTGCATTTATATATTATATTTCTAGATGTACTCACCATATGACGAAGGGAATACTTGAACCTTCCCTCCATCCTGAGAGCTGTTGCCCTCCTACACACAGAGGGTGACAGATTTGAAGTGGGAGAGCTCTGTTAGTTGTGGGCACCCACCATGTGCACCAGAGCCCTGATTTTGCAAGGTCTTGACTCATTTGGAAACAGACAGTGGAACTGTCCCTTCTCTTGTCATCCTCTGTGTATAGGAAGCTGATGAAAATGACACTGGGGATAGGGCTAGAGCTCTGCCTCCTTTTTGAGGTGCATTCACGGATGTAACACCTGAAGAAGCTTCCTTGTATATCATCATTTCAGCAGGTTTGACCAGAATTTCTTGCTCTCTTGGGCCTCTTGTTTCAAACAGTGCCAGTACAGGGTTTGGAAATACCTTCCCTCGCTTACAGGATGGGTATAAAAATATGATTTATATTACAATACACATAGAAACTGGATTTAATTGGAATATTTATCAGATTTTTGGACATTTTAAATACAATAGAATTTTCATCTTGTTGCCTGATTAAAATAAAATCTGAATAAACTAAAATTAAACTTACTCTTACCATGTCTTCAAAATGAATAAATGGAACTGTGTCAGGTACTTCATTTCCCATATGCATAAAGCATCATAGGAAAATACATGTTGAGAGCAGGTTTTTAGGTTGCTGAGGTTGCCCCCAGCCATTGGTCCCTTACCACCAGCAGCAGTCAATATGTGCCACCCTTTAATTCTGCAGTCCCTGGACAATATCAAACCCACTCAACTCAGATGAAGAAACTCACAAACAGATATGCACTTAAGATTTTTTTTTTTAATAACGTGTTTTATTGTCTTAAAATAATGTTCAGAATCCTAATACTTTGTGTAGTCCTATTAAATGAATGTTAATTTGCTAAGCTGAGTCCTCTTTCAATTCCATTGATTCAAATGGGCCTACTATGACTTACTACACTAAAGTAAGTTCAGTTAGAATAAGCCAATTTGAATCAATGAAACTTCTGGAAAAGTTGACTCAATCATTCCCTGTTGACTCAATGGGCCTACTCGAATATAATTTACCTCAGAGAACAACAGGTTTTTCCAATGTAATATAAACTTTGCATAATTATAAAAGCCCAGGTTTATGATTTACTACTCTTTTTTTCTTAAAGCATTCTTTAAACACTGCAGCTTGGATACATGATATTTATTTGTTTATTTAAAATATTTTGACCCAGCCTTTCTGCTTAGAAGGATCCAAGACAAGTATAGAGAGTTATTTATTATCAAGCAGTGTACCATATATTATTTTCTAAAATTTGTTTTTAAAAAATCAGTTTTTATATGAACATATAAATAAGACAAATGGATACTATAGTTTTTGCAGAGAATCTAGATGCTCTAATTGTATTTAAGTACTGTACTTATTTTGATGTTGTAACTGTTGAGTGAGTAGGTGTCATAGTCTAGGAAATGTATGATTTTTTCATACTTTTTTCCCTTTTGTGATTAATTCATTCACAAAAATGAATCCATTTACTCAAAGCAGGTTTTCTATTGATATAGGCAAAGGTGCATATTTAATTTTGGTAGCTCTACTTTGCCTGCTTAAAGTATCAACAGGTGCCCAAATTCATTGTTTATTAAAATAAAATTTTACAAGGTCATTAGGATCAAAGCAGTTTCACTAGGAATATATGCATATTTCCCTCTGATGAAAGATGCAAACAAAATATTGACATCTTAAATGTCAAAGCATTTGACATTTCATTTTTTCCTGGATAAGAAATAAAAGCAGGATTATCTGCTTTTGCTGTGCCTTACCAGAAAACCATTAGGAAGAGAAATGTCCAAATAATATAAGAGGTTCTATTTCAGAGTGGTTACTTGTACTTGACATAACAATTTGTATCACTGAAATACTATCCTCTTTGTGCTGAAAAATCCACCGGTAATTGATGGATGTTGTTTGCATTTTCCCCTTGAAATACATCTTGTAAATATCTATCAGTTTGGGGATTAGAAGTTGAGAAGAGGTGACAAATAAATATATTGTCTTGCTTTCCAAGGCTAGATTGAAGGGCTACTTTCACATTCATATGATTTTTTTTCATTACTTACTTATGAGTAATTCATGTCATTTTGAAGCTAGCATGAGCAGCATTTCAGTGTTTTATTTCTTGCAATTTTAAAGAAAACAGGATGTTGCTTAATTGTTTTATGTGACTCAACAGTGATCATTCCAGACAAAGACAAAGAATCCTGTAGTTTAAAAACAGGTTTAATTAATAGGCTCACCATACATTTAAGTGTAGTGGCTTGTTCTCCTTTGATGTTACTCTATTCCCCAACAGAGGCTCATTTTTCACATGTGTATAAATAAAAAATGAGATGTATAACATCTCTGAAACCAGCATACATGAAAGAAGGATAGTCTAAACGCATACAGTGTATTCAAAAATACATTTTAAAATAATCGTTTTAGGTGTTTGTGTTTTTTTAAATGCAACACAATGAACTGTCTTACTGGAGTAAGTAAGAGTGCAGTAAGACAATTCATTGTG